TTCATCTATAAATACACATATGTAACAGTTATTAGAAAAACCTAATACGGATACAATTATTAATCATTCAACGATGGGTTTCGAAAACTAGTTAGAATTTATTGATATTCGTAACTAATATTACCACCTTAGGATATAGAGAAAATGCATGCTCCTAAAGTAACTTTGCTTGTTAAAGTTTCCATGGTAAAGCAGTTTCACGATAAAATCGTTTATGTAGGTGGAGACACGAGGAAGGACACTTTGAGAATAAAATATTTTTAGTCCTTTTTAATATTAAAATGAATTGTAGATTGAACAAGAAATAACAGATTTTAAAAAGTATTTTTGTTATAAAAACTTTGGGACCCAAGAGTGATAATTTACGGTTGTTTGAAGGTTAAAGTACGATCTTGAATAAATACGTCTCTTTTTAACCAAACCATTTACAGATTTCTGGTCCATATGTAGCTTGGCCTCTTCCTGATTCTGAAATATTTCGCCTTGGCTGTCTGTGAAGATGGCCACAGAACGATTTGTTCTTTGTTGCCTTATTATTTCTTCTACACAATAGTGGATTGCCGTTATTTCTGCCTGGAAAATTGTGACATCTTTAGATAGGCTTACGTGGAAAGATCTTCTTTGTTTCGGCCATACTAGTCCAGCTCCTACGCTTTCCAACGTTCTTGAGTCTTGAATGGGTACACCTTTACTCCAGTCTTCCCTTCTTGGTATGGTTATATTAAATTTGTTGTTGAAGGGATACCTTGTAGCTGTTGCATCAATCGGTAACTTTCTGGTTTTATTTTTATACTCTCTCAAGCGAAGTTTTGGGTCGATGTTTACATGTCTAGGGGACACCGCGAGGCAGCTGAAGAGGCAAATAAAAGCGAAACGCCACGAAGTAGCTGGAAGGAGGGTGTAGATAAAGAAATCGAGAATAGAGAAATACATTATGATCTCTGGCTGAATAGAGAATAGTGGAGGTTAGGTGTCGAAAAAACGTCGTAGAACGCTCTGAACCGACTTATATATTTATTTAGTTTACAAGTCTAGGAGTGAATTGCTATAGATCTAGTAAGTCTGCCGACATGAATTTCCCATTGAATATCTTAATAATATACGGTGTAATAATATTTGTTTTTTTATTACCAGAATTATTTAATACTTTACTATCAGAATATAAACGAAAATAAAATAAAAAAGTCTTTGCCCTGACCCGGATTCGAACTCTGAATCATCGGTTCGTGGTCGGAAACTCTACGCGCTGCGCTATGGAGACTTGTTCGATTTATATTCAATACTAGAATTTAACGGACTAAATAAAAAAATATAGGATCTTCTTCCGTTGCGCAGTAGTGAACGTAACGGGTATTGTATATATAAGATGGGCTGCATGCTGTTCCATAGAGCATAGTAAAAGATATATCAAAGAACCAGCTTTCTTAAAATACTTTCTCGAAAACGCAGCTAGCTCTAGACTACTGGTTTACATTTTAGCTCTAACTTGTTCTAACCTCTATTCTTTTGGAATTTTACAATAAATATTTTTTTTTTCAACCGTCACAAAAGTATTAATTTTTGCGACATGATTGACAACATAAAAAATTCATTTTGAGGTGCGATTTCGGTGCCGCTGCTGGCTGCCAGCATCTCTAGTAGCACAGCTCGAGCAGCACCACCGAAATCGCACCTCTAACGCCTAGACATAAAAGTAAATATATTACTTAAATGACATAAAGTGTCAAATTCAACGAGCCCCACGTCAAGGACTGTACGTATTCTAAAGGACTGTTCGATCGCGTCAAATAGCCGCTGTCGTAGTCGCCGTGGAATGCTACGTCACGCGCTGACCAGCGCTCCACAGTGCGGCGGATGGTTATTCTAGCGGGACAAAATCTCAAGAGCAATGTTTGGGACTTAAAATCTAAGAACGTAGCAAATGGTCTAATATATAGCAACTATATGGTTAAATTTATTTATTAACAACTTAATTTATTAATAAATAAATACAAGATAATAAAACTACGATATTATTCGTACATGACACACAAAAACCGTATTGTAAACTATTGCCAAATACATAAAATTATGATATCAAAAAACTCTTTAGCAGATTTTTTTAATTAATTTGCAATCTTGTGACACCCTCTATAATTTATTTTAAACAAATATATTTTATTTTGAAAATAATAAATAAGATAGATATTTTAATTTTAATTTTAACACTCAGTAATTGTAAATTCAGATATAGTAAGTATCTAAGACAATTTTTTAAACTCAGTGCCTTTTGATGGAGTTGTTTTGTTTTTATACTATCCGATTGAAATGAATCTTTTTGGGCATTCACCTGTTAAGGTTGAACTCCCTGTGACTGTGACTACCTGTGTTGGTAACTATTGGTAACTCAAAAAATCTACATCATTCAATATATCGATATTTGAAAAAAAAGTGAAAGTTTGATATCTGCAGAACAAAGGCACGAAGGATTTTAACAAATAATATACGTACAGTAGAAAAGTACATACCTTTGGCAATCTTCAACAAAATTTGGCTTTCTAATAAAATGTATAAGCACTTGTAAATATTTTGTTTTCGTATGATCCCTGCCTTGCTGAGCAGAAAACGACCAAATTTGGTTGATAAAAATGTATCGAAATACAAAGAATATTCATGCATTTTTGTATCAATTGGAATGTCAACTATTTATTCTTATCAGTACACATTTTTTGGCTTATTTCTAACCAAACGCTTTTGTCCCGCTAAATTTATCTTCCAACGCACTGTGCGCTCGTCCGTCAAATGGAAAAATAACTGTCACTGTCTAAAATCTTTAGCGCCAACTTCAACTCGGTCAGTAGATGACGTAAAAAAAACTGACAGTGCAGGAAGATACGAATCGAACTATCCTTATCTCTATAGTATCGTTGGCCCCACGTAACCATAGTTTTTCGATATATAATTACATACAAGGTATTAACCACGGCGGTGTCACTTGTATGGGAAAACAGGCAACAGGCAAATTTAAACGTGCCAGGACCAACGAGAAAGAAAGCAACATCTGCCAGGCATTGGCTTTCTTTGTCACTCACGTTGCTTAAATCATGATACCGCGGCCATTTTGTCAACAAAGAAGCTGGCCGGGCTATCCTGGCAAGTGATTTAAAACAATTTTGCTTTTTTACAATATTAAATTACCATTTGGATGTATTTAATGCGATTATTCAGTTAACTGGTAAGTCAGAAATTACACACAAATACTTTATTCGTAAATACAACTAAGATGTAAACGTATTTTTGTATTTTTAGATTTCAACTCTTGCAAAGACCCGCCGATAGAACTTGCCTGGCAGCGTACCTGTTTAACTAAACGTATTATTTCCTGATAATAATATCAAAACACGTAAGAACCTCTATAATTTATGATGAAAAATGATTTTGATTATGTTTTATATTATTTAAATACTTTCTAACCTCAAATAATCGTAAGATCCTTGTTTATATCGCAGAGCCCATTCAAAACTGTTTTGTCTTCAAAAAATGTTTACAAAACAAACAATTATTAAAAAAACTATGTCCTTTTAATCTGATTTATACCTCAGAAGGATGCCAGTAAAATTTTATTAAATCAACATTATATTATTTGGCCGTTAATATGCAAAAAGGAGCATATTGCCTTAACTTAAATTTTCTTTTACTTCTGACAATGTTCTCTATATTCTCTATTTTGAGTTAGTAAACCTTTGAACGGGATGTGCGATATATATTGGTTGTTGCACGTTGGCTTGGTTTAAGTTTTATTCAGCTTATATTTATTTGGTATAACAGTTTTTTTTGCCTTTGGAATGGCATGCATTGAGGCTAGATAGTGTTTCATTAGATCATTAAAGGAATTTAAATTAGCATATATTTTTTGTGATATTAGTGTGTTATCATGATACAGGTAGTTGTATCATAGTGCCTTATGCATGCTATTTACCTATTATATACTTATGTATTATCAGTAAATAGATGATAACATACTACTAAAATGTCTTTTTAATAGTATGTTTATCTTTCCAATTCACTAGTTATTTGCAAAATGTATTTTGAACTAATTTAAGTCATTAATTGATTATCTTTCTTTTTCAGGTTCCGGGATATTCTTTTTCATTGTTAAAAAAATATACATATTTCAATATTATTGTAATATAAATCGCAGCTCTAAAAAATAAATGATATTGTTTACTAATGTGTAATTTATTTACTATGAATTTTCTCTGAGAATAATAAGCCTTTAATAATATCATTCATTTGCTGTGTAAAGTTAATAAACATATTTTTTAATACATTAAATTATATTAAAGTAATAAAAAATATGGTTATTAACTTTAAACAGTAAGTCAGTGATACTTATAAATATATTTTTTTAAAAATTTCCCCTCTTTTAAGCCCCGCCCCTCCAATTCCCCTCAATTTAGCTAGTACTGCCAGGCGACACCAGGTGGCGTCTGTTTCCATTTATTAACATGAAGTTAGCATTTCTTTAATGTACCTATTCTCTGGTATTAACTTTTAATTTTTTTTATATTATTTGGAACGTTTGAAATCGTTTAAAAATTATTTGTGGCGCTTGAAAAAATAACATGTTCTATTCGAAGTAAAAATGACTTTTTGTGCCTCGCCCCAAAAAGTGTCATTTTTACTCCTTATAAAACAATATACCATGTTTTATTTTTTAGATTGATGATGATTTCCATAGCCTTGTAATATCAAAAAAGTAATTTCGTCCAAAATTTTATTTTTAAATGATAGTTATTAATTTTGACAAAATAAGTATATAAAACATCTCTAATTAAACGCTTATCTTAAAATACAGAATTACCAACGTCGCCCACGAACGAATTTTATCACTGCGAACAGGTCCTTTGAGAGATACCGAATAATATCGTTATATCTAAGAGAGCACCTAACGTAGTAAAAAGGATACTTTTATCTTTGCATGCGGAAAAGTCTGTTAAGAAGTATTTTTATTGTTTTAGTGTCGTCGTATCAAGGTGAAGTGTTGCAATTGCGGAAGATATCGCGTTCGGAAATGGGCGCTTACATGTGCATCGCCACCAACGGCGTCCCACCGACTGTTAGCAAGAGGATAATGGTTAACGTACATTGTAAGTGAAATTTTATACCACACATTACAGTCACATTACAGTATAGTATATTCTTCATCATTGGAGATCAAATTTTGATATTGATATGTAAATACAAGTAAAATTTGAGGATCACGAATCCTTGTCACGAAATGTGATAAATAAATAATAATAAATATAAATAAATGCCTTTATTGTCAAAAAAAATTTCAATTTGTAGACAAAGGTAAACAAAACAAACAAAGTAAACAACAAGGTACACAAACAAACAAACAAAAGATAATATAAAACATTATAGAAATAATGCTAAATATTAACTGAAGTTTGTTTATTGGTCAGATATTGTGTTGTAATAATAAAAACAATATTACCTTTTCCAGAGTGTCTAAAAATGTATTGTTTAATTTAAATGGAACACCTTGTATATTTTACGAGAATCAGATGCACAATTTAATTGTTTATCAAATTGTATTACCAATTTTTAGTTAAAAACATAATGTCTTGATAATATGGCAACATAGCTAGTAAATTAAATTTACAAGAAAGAAAATCCAGAAACTATCCAGTGGTTCTCAAAATTTAAGCAAAAAATCATTATTTTTGGAAATTTTCGAAGTAAAATTACTCGGTTATTTTGGACTTATTTGAAAAACGGTAGAGAGAAAATATGTTTCCTTTATCGAGATCTACCAGCCCTGAAAATATTTGCACTTATTCAAGACTCACCCTGAGTAAACATAAATATAGTCTGTGAAACGAATAACTTTGAATTTGACAGTTCCCGCGGGCTTTTCTAGTGTTAGTTTTATTAAGTTAGCAACTTGCGGCCATGCTGACGCAATGCCGTCTCTAATAGAACAGCCCGGGATATAAATAATAATTGGTGTGAATATTTTATATGTAATTTTTTTGGATTATATTCGACACTATTTTTTTCATATGACACAACACCGATGAAGGCTATAATGTTAGCTGAAACGTTTTTTTTAACCAAAAAAAATTATGAAAAACCAAATGAAAACTTAATCAGCGTTTTCCCGAACTTAAATCCCAAGAAAATTCAAAATTTTAGAATAATTTTACATATAAAATGACAGCGATCTTCATAGCCATCGCTGACGCCTTTTTTCCTATGATATTGTATTATTTGCAAATATAATTTTTCGAACATTAATACTTGCAAAATATACATACAAATTTTGTGAATGCAAATAATAATACATCACTATTAGTAGATATTGAATGTTTTTTGTTAAATTAGATCGATTTTCAAACCCCAAAATTTAAAATATATTTTACATTTTACCCATTATCTTATGTACCTATTCATTATTTGTATGTTGTAAAACATTTGCTGGCATTTGTATGGTTCATAGTTTATTTGCCAAAGTATTTATAGCTATAAATAGGTTTGTATTTATTAACTGTATATTTCATGTAAACTATATAATTTTTAAAATACAAACCAAAAATACGAGGAATAATTATGTTTTCCATATTTATTAATCCGTAGTATCTAACTAGCGTGACGTCATAAATCTCGCTCCGAGGCTTTTCTATTAGAGACGGCATTGGTCTGATATTTACAAATGTTAAAAGCTGATGACATCTTACTTTTGACAATTAGGACATTTCGTGTTGATTTTTGCAAGAAGAGGAAGAACTGTCACTTGTTTTATTATTTTCCTTTTCTATTTCACGAAAGTAAAAAGAGTTACCTATCTGATTCGTTCAGGCACTCAATTTAAAGAATATCAGTAACATTTTTGACAGAGGGATTTTATATAGATTTTATATTTGCCATGTTGGTAAAAAATAACGGTCAAAATTCAAAGTTATTCATTTTATAGACTATACAATAAATTTTTATGCCAAGAGAAACATACACAATAGTAATAAATAACGCCAAATATTTGTAAAAAGTATACGATCTACATTCGTTGATTATACGGAAAAATATAGAAATGACAACCCTGATATTAGAATTGGAACTGAAAGAGCTCAAATAACCCAAACACTCCATTACGGCATTGAATAAACATGAAAGAAAAAAATACATTCAATTAGGGAGAAGCAACAATGACAGTGGAAAAAATCTCTTAATTAACTGGTATTGTGACGTGGTCTAAAAAATAGGCAAGTTACATTTGCACGGTTTTTAGAGCATACTAAAAAAATTAAATCTCCTTTCTAGTAACCAGAATTATTATTTAATTTCGGCAATGAGATCTCGTTTGATTTGAGAATTACGGAATGTTAGGTGAATAATAAGATTCACAATTCAAGATGATTTTTGTGTATAAAAGGTGCGTGAAAAAAGTTTACCGGATATAACATAAGTTTCTTCAAAATAACACCCATTTTATTTTATTTTAGGGTACTTATTTCAGCGTGCTAAAAATTGTCAGTGGCCATATTGTTTCTGACAATAAATTGTTTCTGAACAAGAAAAATATGTGAGTTAATTGCTACAGGGTGTTCAAAATAAAGTAACAAAAATTTGTACTAGTTAACACAATGACATATTTTAAATGTCATTTGGTTGATTGAAAATTTGGCATCAATTTTACGCATTTTGTAAATTTATGGCAGTAATAAGAAACCCAAAAAAGGTATAATATATACAGGGTGTTTCATTTCAAGTTCTATTTGTAGAACATACAGATGGATAAATGATAAAACTTAAAACAAACTATTTTAATATTTCTGTATATTTGGACATTATATAGTAAAATATAAAACTATACTTGATATTAATATAAAAAGCACATTAGTATTGTTTTGAATTAATTTTAAAATTGTAGTTTTAAAAATGCTTCATTGAATGAATGTAGAATCAACTAGATTTAGTTGAAATCCTTTGTAATATTAAGTAGTATTTAAAACTACTAAATATTCAATTTTGTTCTATTCATTTATTATGCGCATAATAAACGAACAGGCTAATAAGAAAGATATATAAAATAGATGTTACTGAGAGTATTAAAATTTCAGAATAAATTACTTAGCAGTGGCACACAAAGTTAATGAAGTTGAAATAACTGACAACTATTTCATTCTTATCGTCAACTTTTTATCGTATTTTTTTGACCTTTGCAACGATTATACAGGGTGTCCCAGAAATAAGTGCAAGTATTTTAATTGGTAGTATATTTCAACTCAACAACAATATGAGGTTTTTTTCGCGAAAAAAAAAAATTTGAAAATTCGAAATTTTTTGACAAATTTTTTGGAAATTATTTTACTTTTTAATTAAAAAACATAATTTCTTGATAATATGGCAACATAGGTAGGTATTAGATTAAATTTACAAGAAAGAAAATCCAGAAAAGATCCAGTGGTCTCAAAATTTTAGCAAAAAATATATTTTTCGGAAATTTTCAAACTCAAATAACTCGGTTATTTTGGACTTATTTGAGAAAAGATAAAGAGAAAATATGTTTCTTTTATCAAGATCTACCAGCCCTTAAAATACTTGCACTTATTTCTGGGACACCCTGTAGTTAAAATAAAAAATGATGATATTTAGGTTGCAAAGATTTTAATATTGATGTTAAATATTTGTATAGATATAACCAAAGACAGTAAAAAGGGCGCCACTTACTTTGTTTATGAAAGAGATAAAGTAAGAAACCAAAATGAATAATATTTTGTCCCAAAATAGCTAGAATAAAGTAATCAACAGCAATAAGGGTCTATTATATTCATCAAGAATAAAAGTCAGAGATAACTGTCCTACATTAAACATTTATTTAAAAAAAAAACGAACACAAGTACCAGTTAGTTTCAATTATCCCAATAAAACTGTAAGTTATTTTAAATACATTTGAATTTAGTAACTGTATTCTTCTTTATAGTAACTATAACTATATTATTATTAATAACAGATACTTAACCAAAAAAAAACAACTTACGGTCTGAAATACAGCTTTACATAAAGCAAAATATATTCAAACCATATGCTGATCCAAACCAGTAATTAAATATTAATCAAAACCTTCAAAACAAATAAAAAAACGGGAATAACTGAAATAAAATTTAGTTAGTTATGGCGATGCAAAATGGCGGATACACCTTACGGTGATATATTCCAAGAAACACCCAACAAAATACGAACTATACTCTGAACTGCATACTTTAAAAAGGTCTTCAAATCTCTATATCGGATACCCACGCTTCTTCTTCTTAAGGTGCCGTGCAGATTCCTGCGTAGGCGTTCATCTTTTTCTTCCTCATCAGATGGTTCTGTTAACTGCCGCGACTTGGAGTGCTTGGAAGTCCTGTATGCCTGTCCAATGACGAATATTTCTCAGCCAGGATAGCTTCCTTCGTCCTATCCCCCTTTTGCCCCCCTCTATTTTACCCTGGAGAATCAGACGCTGAAAGTGATAGCGTTCTCCACGTAGTATGTGTCCCAAATAGGCTATTTTCCTCTTCTTGATGATTTCAGAAGAGTTCACGTTGTTCCAGACCAGCTCTTCTGAGAATGTTTTCATTCCTAACACGGTCGACCCAGGGCACTCTTAGCATTCGTCGTAGGGTCCACATTTCGAAGGCTTCAATTCGGTTTATTGTTGCTACCTTCAGTGTCCATGCTTCCACACCATATAACAAAACGGACCAGACATAGCACTTCACCGTTCTGTATCTAAGGCCGAAGTTCAAATTCCTATCTGTGAGAAATCTTCGCAGTCTCAGAAAAGTAGATCTTGCTTGTTCGATCCTGCATTTGATCTCCTGATCCGGATCCCACGTTTCGTTAACCATGCATCCCAAATATTTAAATTGTGTGACCTGCTTGATGACCTCTCCATTTAAGTAAATTCTGGTGTTCGGAATATTGTTTCTGCTAACAGCCATAAATTTAGTTTTTGTAGTATTTATGTTTAAACCCAGTCTTTGACTTTCACTGTTAACCTTATTTAGAAGGATTTGGTTGGAGATCATTTGCATTGTCTGCCAATATCACTGTGTCATCCGCATATCGGATATTATTAATTGGAATACCATTTATTTTCAAACCAATGGGACTATCGGAGATTGACTCAGTGAATGCTCTTTCCACATATAAATTGAACAACATTGGAGATAGAATACACCCTTGCCTTACCCCTTTTTTTATTCCAAAATCTTCTGTTACTCCCACGCTATGTATACGAATTTCAGCTTTTTGGTTCCAATACAAATTACTGATGAGCCTTATATCTTTTCCATCAAGTCCCAAGTCTCTGAGGTATGATATAAGGAGGTTATGTTTAACGTTATCGAACGCCTTTTCATAGTCTATAAAGCACATGAAGACATCTTTTCTCTGATCTTGGCAATTCTGTACTAAAGTTTGAAGACTGAATATGGCTTCTCTAGTACCAAAGCCGTTCTTAAATCCAAATTGACTTTCTCCACTTACTTCCTCACATTTTTTGTAGAGTCTTGTATGCAGTACCCGTAAAAAGAGCTTAAGAAAGTGGCTCATTAGACTAATAAGACGATACTCTTTATACGAAGTTGCGTTACTTGACTTGGGCAGTGTGATAAACGTAGAACGAAACCAGTCTTCAGGGATGTGACCGGTATCATAGATGTTATTGAAAAGCTGTACTATAGTTTTTAAGTTTTGTTCATTAATTAAGTGGAACGTTTCCGAATACATATCATCAGGCCCTGGAGTTTTGTCGTTTTTCATTAAATCATCTAATCGCATGAATAATTTCACTTTCCAATATGCTTGGTCCTGATGGCATGGGAATCTCAGTTGCAGGGTTTTCTGATCTTTCGTCGTTGAAAAGATTAATGGTATAATTTCTCCAAGTTTGCAATAGTTCTTCTGTTTCCGTTATAATTTTATTTTCATCAGTTTTAATTAGGGTTATTGATTTATTATGGTGTAACCCAGCTATCTCTTTCACTTTCGTGTGAAGATGGAAACTGTCTCCAAGATGACTGAGATTTTCGGCCTCTATACATCTCTCCTTCAACCATGTCTCCTTTGCCGTTCTTATTTTATTACGAATTTTTCTTTGCGTAGATTTATATTCGTTGTGATTATTCTGGATTTTAAATTGTCTTCGTTGTTCTGGATTGGATATTGGATACCCATGCATTACAGTTAAAAGCGGATTCAGAGTGCTTTTTACTGAAAGAATCGTATGGACGCCGAACAACGCGTTTCTAACAGATCCGATCTCTCAGCAAAAGAAAAAAAAAATGAATTAATTAATAATAAATTAAAGGTATTTTAAATATCGAGGTAATAAAAATTAAAAGTTGTAGTCATTTCCGGCGAAACAAGAAGTGGCCGATAAGAATTGAATACGTTAGACGATATATAATACATCGTCTTTTTTTATCTGAAAAAATAAAATAGTTATAGAGGTGAGCCACTTTTGAGACGCTCTCGGTATATTTGTATACATATTAAACCGTTAAAATAATTTTAGTTCACATATAATTTGTTTCTACCTATTGATAAATACGTAATAAAGAAATTATGATATCTAAACTATACCCCACGGACCCGAGATACACAATTTGATGACAAATAATTCTGATAAACGTTGGTAGTAATATCACAGTTGTCCGGGCAATTCTATTAACGGCGTAACGCTTTGAATGAAATATTTCCAGGTCGATAGTCAAAAGTCAAGGAAATTTGTTGTTTGTTTTTCACCGCCAGAACATTAAGTTTAATGAACAATCCTATATTTACTGTGACGTTATTTATTTGGAGTGTAAATAATCATTTCTGATCTATTTGGTTTAGTCCGTTGCAACGCAATTAATTGTGGACAATTATAACTAATAGACTGAATGAAAATCAAATATAATATGAAGACGAAATTGCAATTTAATTATATTTATTATTCTAGTTCTATATTTTGTATTTTTTTTAAATAATGGAAAACTTGAAAAGTAGATCTCGCTTACACAAGGTTATAAGTTCGATTCCTACTGGCGATATTATATCAATCCGTATTTAGGTTAAAATAGCCTCTACACTATCCGCGAAATGTTGTAGTTTGCAAAATATTTCTAGAAATAGTACGATAAATATAAGCCCTTGTTATAAAAATTAGTTCCCACGTTTCCTGAAATAGTTCGAGACGCGCCGCGATTGGTTGTTTGTTTTTTATTGTTAATGTGGGTTAACAAGAAAAAACATAACTGGTCGTAACGTCTAGGTTAACAATGAAAAATAAATAATAATCACGTCGGGTCTCGATCTATTTTAGGAAACGAGGGAACTAATTTTTTTAAAAATGGATGTTGAACAAATCTTGTCCACACACACACAAGTATACCTACTATTTTTAATATTACTTAAATTAAAAAATAGCCTCTGTACACAAATGACAAGGAAACGACATCACATATTATTACGAGTATGTTACAATAGTTTAACAATGGATCTTAATTTTTTTTTGTACCTATATTCAGGAAAATTCAAAAGAATTGCTTAAACACTAAATTTTTTAAAATAATTAATATTGATTGAATTAACATCATTGCCAGATGTGTTAACAGTTTAATTTTACAAAGACAATTTTATGAATTTGAATATAAAAATATTAATATAATAAAAAGATAAAGATGTAGTATATAAATAAAATGATAAAAATACTAATATGCTTTTTATACAATATAATATAGTTTAGTTTATTTATTGAAATTTGGTTCAATTTCAGTTCATCCAGTAATTCATGTTCCAAATCAACTAGTGGGAGCGCCACTTGGTACTGATGTGACATTAGAATGTTACGTGGAAGCTTTTCCAAAATCAATTAATTATTGGGTCAGGGATACAGGTAGGTAAAACATATTTAAAAATAGTAATTTTATATATATACTGGGTGAGTCTTAAATAAGTGCAAATATTTTTAGGGGTAGTATATTTCGACCCCAGAAACCTGATTATGAGATTTTTTCGCAAAAAAATTGAAGATTTGGATTTAAAAAAAAAACATAATTTTTTTTAGTATTTAGTTAAAAACATTCTCAAAATTTAAGCAAAAAATAATTTTTTTGGAAATTTTACTTTGAAAATTTCCAAACTCGGTTATTTTGGATTATTGTTGTTGTTCGTAACCATGTTTTTTAAGGAGAACCAGCCCTGAAAATATTTGCACTTATTTAAGACTCACCCTGTATAATATTTTTTACGTCTATTTCTGTTTGCTTATACATTAAATTAAACTTATTTATTTTTATACTGTTTAAAAATATTTATATCCTAAACTTTGAGAAAAAGAAAGAAATAGTGAGGGAAATGCATAAAAAAGAAGAAAAAAGATTAAACGGCTCAGCCCTCAACAACTCGTAACCGTATACACCAGCGTACACCAGTGCAGACACGCACACTCACACTCACACAACCACACCTACACTAGTGCACACTGATGTAACAGCCTTCAGGCTTCATCAGTACGGTAAGGAATCAGGAAGCGAAGAAACCGATCCCAAAACACAAAAGACCAGGAAGCAAACGATGCAACGAGGCACCGTGTGTAACCCAGGAGATGGAAAAAAAATGATGAAGAAACGAAAATAAAAGATGGAAAATAAAAGGAGCAAACGGGAGCCTAAAGCCCCAATTTGCAGCCAAGAACCAGAGTCGCCCAGGATTGTGGGCTTCGTCCAGAACAGCCGCGGAGCTTTAGTCTGTCCAGAACAGCAAATGGGGCTTTAGGCTCCCGTTTGCTCCTTTTATTTTCGTTTCTTCATCATTTTTTTTTCCATCTCCTGGGTTGCACACGGTGCCTCGTTGCATCGTTTGCTTCCTGTTTTTTTTTGTGTTTTGGGATCGGTTTCTTCGCTTCCTGATTCCCTATCGTACTGATGAAGCCTGAAGGCAGTTACATCAGTGTGCACTAGTGTAGGTGTGGTTGTGTGAGTGTGAGTGTGCGTGTCTGCACTGGTGTACGCTGGTGTATACGGTTACGAGTTGTTAAGGGCTGAGCCGTTTAATCTTTTTTCTTCTTTTCTAAACTTTCAGGTGACATAATCGCTGCCTATGATAATAATAATAATAATTTATTTATAAATACATATAAATAAATAGTATACGTCAAAGACTTGTTCGTAAAAAAAAAGTCAAAGACTTGTTCTTATAAATATTATTTAAATCAAAAACATAAACTGAGTATAAACAATATTAACAAGGAATAATCAAACGGCAAACCCTTAGATACAACCTAACCTAACTAAAACAAAGAGAAAAGAAACTTGGTATTTCATCTCTCCGTATAAATTCTTGAATTGAGAACAATATCAGCAAACGATCTGTCCTTCATAATTACCCACAGACGGATTTGTTTTTTAAAAACATATACAGAGAAGACCAGGCTACTTGTAACATAGCAAGTTGCCGAACGAATTTACGTGTACCCAATTTGCGTTCGTACTCGAGATTCACTGCCCGCTAGTCGGCTAGTCAGGCAGTACGCAGTTGCAGTTGTGCTTGGATGGGTCGGTCGTGACAGACTAGCAATACGACGCGAGGAGTGCCGAGTATTTATTATTTTCATTTTAAGTGTTTACCTTCACTTAAGGTAACATTTAAAATAAAAATACTTAAATATTTATTATTTGAGTGTGTTTACATGCCAAAACTAAAAATAAATAAATTCTCTAAACCCCAAAAAAAAACTAAAATATTACTCTATATAAAAAAAAAGTTATAACAAGTGTTGAAAAAGACCACCTTCTTGTGCTAGACAGAAGCCTAGGCGGTCGTAAAATCCCCGTCTGACATTGGCTAACATATTAGGGCTAATAGTTTGGAAAGCCTCTGGTATTTTTACTTGAAGCTCATCCAGATTATTAGCCCTATTATGACCATTCACTTTGGGTTTTACATAACCCCACAAAAATAAATCATTGGGAGAAAGATCTGGTGATCTAGCGGGCCACAAAATAGTTCCATATCCACTAATTAAACGGTTGGGAAAAGTACTGTTCAAATATTCTTGAACAATACGGGCATTGTGGGCAGGACAACCACCTCAACAATTTGATTGACAAATGGACACTTGCTTTAACTCCTGTTCTTCATTAATCAACACATCAGACTTTTTGTGTTTTTGTGGGGACACGCACCCATGTGTTTCAAAATTATTAATAACTCTTGATACAGTAGGTAAAGATGGAATTGGCCTGTTTACAAAAGTTTGTGGAAAAATTGTTTGTATATCCCGATAAGACCTATTTTGGAAATACCATTTTACAATTTGAATTTTCTCACGAACTTCGTAAACATCCATTATTTTACTTAAAAAATAAATTTTACACGAGAACTGTCGCGGGAATCTATGTATTCCTTTTGGATATTAAAACACGAATAAATACAAATTCTGAAACATTCTTATCACATATCGACCTATTTTTATTTTATCGCATTTTTTCGCCTGCTTTTTATCCGGCGGACGGGTATACGCTAATTCGTCCGGTTCTGCCTATGTTACTACTACGGTGGTCCGGTCTGTATATCTATATTAACACTTTCAAAACTTTACGTTTTACCTCTTGCGGATTATTTTCTGACAGAACGAGTGTCAGTTTGTGTAAAACCCGTTAGAAAAAAATGCACGTCTCATCATTAGCAACACTATACAATCTAAAATTAAAAAGAAAGATGATTGATTCTTATTAATAATTATTACAAAAGGCATCTTGATTCGTCATCGGACCGGAATTATTTATTTTAATTAGATTTAATTTAATATTTTAATTTTAATTAAATTGCAACTGTCCCTTTCCCATCATTTAGCTAACAACTTCGTGTTTCGAAAGACATATTATTTCAAGCAAGGCGGATAATAAACAGTCCAATTGAAAACCAGTAGCAGATGATATCCAGGGAATGCTATAGTTAATTACAACTGGCTCCGATATGTGCGAATGTGCACCAAGCCACACACTAGAAATAGCATACATTTGAATAATTAACTTAGTTTGAAACAAAGAGAAGTTTTGCGAAAGTTTGCGTTAAGATTACCTGAAGTATATGAGCCTATCTTCATATTACCATCTTGAGTAATTTAAATTTTCAAACTTAAAAGACAGGCGTTTAATATCGTTAGCAAGACGAAAAATGCCTGTTTAATAAAAAATAATATATTTTTTGTTAACTAGTATCTTAAGGCGCATTCTCACGACTCGCCTAGTTTTCAATCAATGAATCAAAAATATATTGTAATTTTGAATGCAACGAACTCTATGAAACACTCCACTGCAAAAACTTTTTCCGTAATGCTTTACTTAACTTGATTCTTCGCTGAAACCAAATTTAATTTTCATATTTTCTCCAACCTCCTATAATGCATTTGAAACTAAACAGGAAACAAAAATAACATTACAACTAGTTTTAAAACTTTTACTAACATTAAGAACTTTACATGTTTCCTCTTTGTATAGTTATCAAATTATATTCATGTTCATTTTTTTTTATTTTATTTTGGAGCAGAAGCGAGATTTAATTTTATTTGTTGCTTGTGGATTGGAGAAAACAACAAAATACTCTGTCTTATATTTTATTTTATTAGATTTATTTTATTGTATTTTTAAAATTGTGTAATTTCATACTCTAAAGAATAAATAAATATTACTAACTAAAATATATTAATGGCTTTCCCAGTGTAATGCAGTTCTATCATCAATTGCATAAATATTTATATTATATTATACAGGGTGAGTTTTCTATCATGTTCTCTATGGGTATCTCGGAAAGTACTTTAGATATGTTTTTTTAAATGGAAACCATAGTTGACTATGACTTCATAAAAAGCGCCATTTTTTAAGCTTTTCAGCGATGTAAGCTATACTTAGATATAGAGTTATAGCCAATTATTATCATTTTAAAATAATTTCACTTAGTTAGCCATGGACACAAGTTCAATCATCGTTGCTCTCAGAAATGTGAAATTGTCACATCCAAACTTCGTAAAATAAAATAAATAAAATTTATAAATATGAATTTATCAAAAAAAAAACTTAAACGTATTATGAAAAATAGAACCACCGAACGGAAAATTTTTAGTATTCAAAATAAAAAAAAAATATAACTTTGTCAACTCACAAAAAACTCATAGCGAACATATTATAATAAAATAAACCAAACAGAACCTTTTAAATATTCAAGAAAATTATTTTTAACCAATGGAAGAACTGTTTGTATACTGGCCCTTTGCGTCATACTAGAGGTTATACGAGGGCCAAAAATGGTGTACAATAAATACCAATTTTGGGAGAAAAGTATCAAAAATACCAAATTATTTTCAAAAAAATACCAAATTAGAACCAAAAATACCAAATTAGTATTATTCTTTTTAGTATCTAAAGAATTTAACATATTTGGAGCTTTAGGGCCTATTCATGTCAAACTACGATAATTAGGTCAGAAAAACATTAGCTTAATTCGAGTTCCAAAAAAGTACGGTTCTAGAACGGTTTAAAACAATCGCACAGTCTAATTACGACTTTGAATAAGAAGACTAAGGAAGGAGCATAATGCTATCCATGTATTCATGCATTCTGGTCGGAAAAGCCACCATAAAAGCTCTCTAGGGTGGGGATCCTTGACAGTTCTGTTTGACGATTCATTTGACACATTTGAATTTGATTTGAAATTTTGTGGATTTGTCAGTCTTTACGGAGCTTATTTTATGTTATTTATTATTTATTCTACTACTGATAGTTGTATAAAGGTAGTAAATCTAGATGGAAATTGTGGCAGAACTTAAATTAACAGTGACACTATCGCGATTTATCGAAAAAGACTCTAAAATAGTTGGTTGTGTAGCGTGCGGTA